TGGGGATGTGTTAGAAGCAGAATCCAACTGCTCTGCTGTGTCTGGTCTTCTGACGCCTTTGTTTGTAAGAGTAACAAGAAGACGACAAATTGTAGTTCCTTATCAACCGGATTCTCCCGACAAGAAAAGGCACGACAAGACGGGTTTTCTAAATAAGCTAAGCAGGATTCTGGATGAGGATGATACCTCTGAAGCCGAGTCTTGTTCCTCTGCTGTTTCTGGTGTCCAGATGCCTGATGTTTCCAGAACTACGAGAAGCAGGCAAAGCAAAAAGAAATTGCAGCCAGATACAGTTCGTGAAGCCCAGAGCAAAGATATTTCTGATGCAGAGTCATGCTGCTTAGGATCTTGTATGGAGCCATCCGTCACTACCAAACGAATTACTAGGAGCATGCAAATGAAATCACAAGCAGAAAATACTAAGCAGACTGAGAAAGGAAACAGAATTGTTTCAGAAGATGAGGACACCGTTAAATCTGAGCCAGTAATAATTTCTGATTCTAGACCTGCTGCAGAACTTCTCTCTGACACAGAAGATGTTTCCAGTGTCACTGAAGATAATAAAGAACCCAATGCACCTAAAAGCAAATGTTCTTCCAAATCTGTCAATACAACCCAGAGTGAAGACGTGAAAGAAGAGGTTTTGAATGATGTGACACCCAGCCGTCTTGCAAAAATGAAACTAAGTGACACTGAATCACCTGGGAAAAAAACAATAAAAAATACGCAGTCTGTTGGGGCAGATGATTCAGAGGAATCATGTGGCCAAATACAAGAACATCACAGTAAAATACTTGTGAGGGAGGGGAAATCAGAGCGTATGGATCTTTCTTCGACTGATTGCATGAGTCCCAAACAATTTTTAGAATCCCAAGGGCAAATAACACCAAATGAAAGTAAAAAAAATCCGGAATGCAAAAGAGCAGATGACAAGGGAGATGCACAGCAGTCTTTCACCCATGCTGATAAATTAAGGAGGGGACAACGAGCTAGTGCCGTGAGCAGCCCCCAAAAGGACATAGCTGTTGCACAAAGAACTGATAGCGTTGGTAGATGCAGGATGCCTGAAATCAGTGTGGCCAGTGATGAAGAACAAACAGGTGAATATGCTGAATCTGTATCCCACAGCAGTGAAAGAGCAAGCAGTGGAAACAACTCCGTTGCATTGTTTCTGAGCAAAGATGAAAGCGATGAATCCGAAAGTAGTGATGTGGCGGACATTGATACAGTTGAAGAGGATCTGTGTTATAAAGAGGCAGATCAGAGGACTCCTTCCCTCAAAAAATCTTTGAAAAACAGTTCACTGCATGCTGAAGGGCTTTTTGTAATTGATACTGAGCCTGGCATGAGTTCCAGCCAAAAATACTATCTAGATCAGGTAGACCAAGATAGTGATGCTAAAAGTAAGCACGAAGGAAGTCAAAAAGGTGAAGAGTCCTCAGATCTGGAAGAGGCTGAAGAGGAATTGATAGACGAAGATGAGAAGGATGAAGATGATGATTTGTTGAAAAATAAGATCGACGTGTAAGTATCCCTTTGGGAATAACTAAATTAGAGTCGTTTCATGCAAGCATATGCATAGGATATGTACATTAAGTGCTAAATGATGTGGAATAAATGAGGGAGTAGTCTCATCACATAAGTCACAGTGACGTGGAAAGCGGGGTTGCACAGATTATAAAATACAAATATAGTCCATAAATTCAGGGTTTGGGGTTTTTTCAGTTTTGTGTATAGCAGAACCGAACTCTGAAATACTGAGGTTGAAACTGGGTTGAACTGGTCAGGCTGAATTAATTGCTTGTTCGGGCCACAGTTTTCTTAATTGTTGATTTTTATTTTTTTTTTAGTTTGGATATAAGTAACAAAAAGTCCAGTAAATTCCTTACATGTTGCCTAATTAGATCATGCTTTTGAATCCTAAACAGTCGAGTTTACTTTCACGTTTTCAGTTCTTGTTCTGCTGTGGGACGGTGACACTTCAAGTGAAATCGGCCCAGCATAGAATTATAGAATAATTTAGGTTGGATGGGACCCCTTGAGCTCTTGTAGCCCAACTCCCGCTAAAATCCCTTTATATGCTTCATATGTTTAAAACATAATAAATACTCCATTTAGGTTGGATAAGTGAGTCTTAATCTTCTAAAACCCTTCAGGTAGGCCAGAAGTCTTAAAAAAACTTTGCCAAGCGTTCATTGTACAAATTTTATAGAAGATGAATCACAGTTTAATAGAAAGTTGTAAAGGGCTTGCATTAACAAACATTCAAGCTACAGTAAACATCTATTGTACCTCTTTAGATATTACCATATTTCTACATAATACTTCATAGTGTTTAAGCATTCTTGTAATCAAAAAAACCCTCCTTTTGAGTTGTACATTGTTTAGATGTGTTGAAGAAGGATGCTGGTTGCGAGTTCTTTGGCAAGGTTAAGCGAATTAAGAATTCAATTTTATAGAAGGCAGTAATAGCTAAGATAAGAATACAGCATTAGAGTTAATATGAAAGATTTGTGGAAGTGATTCCGTGGGTATTGTTCTTTAATATTTTTTCTGTTTATCTTTCTCAGAGGAGAGTAGTAGGCTTAGCTGCGTGCTTGTTACAATACTCTAATCATTAACTATTTCCCTTTTAGTTTACATCTTTCCAGCAGCATAGACCCTGGTTTGAATATCAAGAAGCTTGGAGGTTTATATATTAGTTTTGATGCAAAAAACCAGAAGCTTAGATCAAGTGTAATTAATCAACTGAAGGAGAAAAAGAAGGACCAGGTAATGTGTTTACTATTACGCAGTGACCTGTGACTACAGTAGCACAAAGATGTTAATTTAATAGGGTTGGTTTACTTGTTTTTAAAGAAGGATCCTGTTTCATGGTTTGCTGAGAACTTCCATTCTTTTTGGCCGAAGTGTGGATTTACGTTTGGTTTTAATGGTAAGAATTTAAATATATGTGACACTTCAGGCACTGAAAAGCAGTGCAAACGCCAGCATTATATTGTAAAATAAAACAAAATTGATGATGCCGGCAGTTTTGCCTAATGGTACGCAAGCTGAAGGTCTGCTAACAAGGTGTTTAGTCCATAGGAAGAACGAATTTCAGTAAATACAGGTCTACACTCTCCCTAATATGGAATTAGCAGTTTTATTTCAAAAACGCCTTTCGAGATAAAGGGAACGTTATTTTTGTTGAGACTATTTTCTTTGGCTCATCCATGATAGCCTCTTTATTCTGGAGCATTCGCTGTCTCACTTCTTCCAGCACTAGCCAACTGCTTTGTTGTTGGCCAGGGTTGTGTTTTGAAGATCCCTACTACTTCCCTTGTGGATCAAAGAAGCTCAAGTGTTGTATTACAATTCTTCCTTAGATACTGCATGATTCTTGTAGTAGGTTCTGTAAATACGGTAAAGTGGTAAAATTTGGATCAGTGAGATAACTGCCTAATGTTAAAAAACATTCTTACAGCTCTTGCAGAAGAGTATAATAACTCCAGATTTTGAAAAGAAGGAATGTGTCCCACCCCTCAGGGAATCACTTCACCAGCTGAAGAAACAGCGCAGGGTAAGTGGAGAGGCGGTAGTGACTCGGATAACAAAACAAGCTTTGGTAGAAAGCCCCAGGCTGGGACTGCAGCTTGATGTCTTCCTTGAGCCGTCCTGTGAAAAGCCATCCCTGTAGTCACCAGGACAGTGAAGTGAAAGATCGCGTGCTCGGATGGTACAAATCTGTCATTAATACAGTGCTGATGACCTTCTTATTACAGGGGTCATAAAACATGCTTTTTAAAGGTACAGAGTTGTGTTCTAAATGCTTTATCTGCCTTTTGGAGGGGAGAGTTCCCTGCTCTATCCCTAGCTGCTGAGCACAAGTTTACTATTCTTGGTATTGCATCCTAGGCAGAGCGAGAGAAAACAACAGGTGACGGTTGGTTTGGTATGAAAGCCCCAGAAATCACAAGTGAACTGAAAAACGATCTTAAAGTTTTGAAGATGAGAGCTTCATTGGATCCTAAGCATTTTTATAAGAAGAATGATAGAGATGGTCTGCCCAAGTACTTCCAGGTAAGGAAGCAGCAGAAGGTGGTACTGTACTGCTGAAGTTTTGAACAGCTATTCTTACTCCCTACCTATTTTGTAGGTGGCCTCTATGTTGATTTAATTTCATAGCTTAATTATGAAAGTATTTTGATTACTTGGCTGCAGTTTACAACTGCTTAACTCTGTATTACGTATGTGTATGTGCTGGAATTTTTTAATTTCAGCTGGTCTCATAGTACTGAACAAACAAGTGATTTAATCCATATTCTGAACCCTCAGTGGACTACATTTTCGCTGCTTTTTTAAGTATTAGCCTTTTTTAACAAGTGTGTAGAAAATAGTGAGCATTTATTTTCTTGCAAGCTAATACAGTTTGAATGGAGACAGCTAGCTTTGTGATCAGCTGGAATTTCTGCTGCTGCAGCTCTTAGCTCTGAAGTGGTTTGCATAAAAAAGATCATGACAGCAGGGACTATAGAAATAGGCTTCCATCTTACGACTGTTTGAATAGTTGGCATGCTTGACAAAATTGTTTTCATTTCTCAAAATATTACTGCTTCGCTCTAAAGCGTGAGTCTTCTTTTATGTTTTAAAGCTCTGGGCATAGAAAAATTTAGATGAAAGTGTTCCGCATAATGAGATTTGTGCAGGTCTGTTTTCACTACATGAAACATACTTTGTGTATCTCCGCTACTAATGTGAATCATCAGAACTGGATAATGTGCTGGTTGGAAAAAATGTGATGCATTCCAGGGTGAAACCCTCGTATTAGAGCTGGATTAACTGTTGTGTAGTCGTAGAATCATGGAATGTTTTGGGTGGGAAGGGACCCCTAGAGGTCACCCAGCCCAACCCCCCTGCAGGAGCAGGGACACCTTGAACCACATCAGGTTGCTCACAGCCCCGGCCAACCTGGCCTGGAATGTTCCCAGGGATGGGGCCTCCACCCCCTCTCTGGTCAACCCCTGCCAGGGTTTCACCACCCTCACTGCAAAGAATTTCTTCCTTAGATCCAGTCTAAACCTACCCTGGTTTACTTTAAAACCCATCCCCCCTTGTCCTGTCACAGCTGGCCCTGCTAAAAAGCTTGTCCCCCCCTTTCCTATGGGTCCCCTTGAAGCCCTGACCGGCCGCACTCAGCTCTGCCCGCAGCCTCCTCCTCTCCAGGCTGAACACCCCCAACTCTCCCAGCCTGGCCTCATAGCAGAGGGGCTCCAGCCCCCGGATCATTTTTGTACCCCCCAGCAAAACCACCACAATGACAGAGACAGCAAAGAGTTGAGTTGGTCATAAGGGTTTCTTTTTTCTCCTTGGGAAAATGTTTAAAAGTTAAGAACTGGATTTCTTTTACGAATACAAGCATTGACGCAGCAGTCCAGTGTTGAAAACTGTACGGTCTCAAAGCTCAGGCCCTCCTCTCTGCGCTGAACGATGAGACCAAAAGTGACTCTGCATACAAAGCATTGCTTCATTCTTTTGGTATTTTGCACTTTCTTAAGATACCATTCTGATCTTCTCTGTAGGTGTCTGTACACTTGTTGCTGAGGATATATTAAAAAAAAAAAAAAAAAAGGCAAAATAATCAACATGTTGCTGTACAGTTAGCATGTTTTCATTTCTGGTCTCTAGGTTGGAACTGTGGTTGATTCTCCCATAGACTTTTACCATAGTCGAATCCCTAAGAAACAAAGGAAGAGAACAATCGTTGAAGAGCTGCTTGCAGATTCTGAGTTCAGAAGGTATTTAAAAACGGTTTTGTAATTCTAATATCCTATGTGAAATAGGAGTATTTTTAACTATATAAGGCTTTTTGTTGTTTATATTCAACTTCTATAAGTTCTTTTATACGAAAGAAAACTTTTTAGGATATTTTAGCACATCAGCAGCACTGCTATTGAGAAGATCTAAGGGACAGGGGTGAATTAGACTGAGACAGCATGGGTTTTATCTTCATAAAAGGGTTTTATCCAACTTGGGTCATCGCTATTGGCAGCCCTGTTCCGGTTCACTTCTAAAATAAGTGTCTGCACAGGCTTACACCAAAAACCAAGGGCTCTGAGTGAGTAATTTATGCCTATGCATGCACTCGGTTTAAAGACTGAATAATTTTTCTTGTCATAATTGATAGAAAAGTGCTGACTGTAATTCTGTGCAAGTTGCTATGATTTCATTTTATAAGCATGACAGAGTGCCACCTGTCCTAGAAATCAAAATTGCACTAGAAGCCTTACTTCAAGAATATGATTGGATTAATTGATGTTTACCTCATTTACAATTTCTGGAGTAGATCCCTTAGTCGATCCATTTTGATAGTGGTTATTACGTGATGTTAATCTGCACTTCTTTTTTCACATAATGACATGTTTTCTTGGAAGCAGTACGTGATTTGGGATTATAAAGGTTGATGTTGTCAGGCTTGTAAATTCATTATTAATGTTGGGAAAGCAAGTTAGTGTAGCTATTTCTTAACTAGTTTTCTGACTTGACCTGATTTATAAGGTATTTATTAAGACCTATTTTTAAAAAGTAACGTCTTTGAAATATTATCAGGTAAGTTTTGTTGTGGCTAATTAAGAGCTTTAACCCGATACTTTAGCATTAGGGCAGGTATTTGTCAGGTGTCAGGGTCGCAATTAAAAGCCTCAGTACTGCTCAGTGTGCAGTGATCCTTTGTGGTAATTAGTACAGGTGCGTAAGATCTGTATTAAAGGAGCTAGCAACTTCTGTTCAGTAAGTATATCCTGTGCAGTGTTCATCTCGTCTCAGTTCAATCTGGAGTTTGCTGAGAAGGCAGTATAAAAATGGGTATGATTTGTCCGTAGTATTGTCAAAATTGTTCATAGTAGGAAGATTGATCAGTAGCAGTGTTTTAGTAAACTGTCCAACGTGTGATTGTATATGCAGTGAGGAACCCCCTGGTTATGCCAAAATTAATGATTCTTCAGCCGAATTTACTTCAAAACAAATTTACCTGCATTTATCGTTAATCCCAGGTTGATTTCCCTTTACCTATGCGTAAGTGTATAAAATTAAAGAAATCTGACTCAGAAAACGTGAGAGAACTTAGTTTGGCGAATTATGTGTGTACTTTCCATGTTATCTTTTCCTGAACTTTGGTTTAACATGCTTAAAAGTAAATTATCTATTTTGTTCAGATATAATAAAAAGAAGTATCAGGAGATCATGAGTGAAAAAGCAGCTTTTGCAGCAGGGAAGAGGAATCGGAAGAAGAAGAAATTTCACAATTAAGACTTGAAGAAAAATAACAAGCTGGAACAACTTACTTGTTATAAAACTTTTTACAGAATGCTTTGGTTGTGGTGGTTTTTTCTTTTTTTTAAGGTTGCAGGTCACGTGCAAATTGAGGTTTAGGGAATTTCTTGCGCTGAGAATTTGCTAGGGAGGTTTATCAAATTGTCAGGTAAATGAATTTAGATTTTGAAATTATTTTTTATTTAATGAATGTGTATTTAAAAAGATAATTATATGAAAGCATATTGTTAAATCTGAGCACAAAATCCACCTTCCTGGACTGTGGTCTTTTCGGGCTTCAGTCTTTACATCCATGAATTAATAAATTCAGTTATGTGTGTAGTTCACCTTGGCACCCGTTATGTGCCAGAACAGATTTTTTCCGTGTCTTGTCAGAGGTGCTGCTGGCCAATTCTGTCATGGAAGGTACTGAGAAATAGTTCGGTTATGAAAGGTACTGACCTTGATAGGATTGAGAATGTTTCTGGAATTCAGTGTATGCACATATACTTCTTTTTATATATACATATATGTGTGTATATATAAAGATATATATACATAAAATTCATAAATCAATATAAAATAATAAAGAATATATAAAATGCATATTGTTTAATAGATTAAGTAATGTAAATATGTATTATTTATATATAAAACCCTAACAGTCATATGTTGCTTGTATTTTTACCATTTGATAATTGTCTAACGATCTTTCTGAAAAAAAACTTGATGGTGGGGTCCGTTATCTAGGGTGTAGTGTGCAGATTGTGGTCTGGTAGGTGACTTGGCATGGTTCTTCAGGCAAATGAACAGCGAGTTTGGAAGGTGCCTCTGCCATTGTAGAACCAGAGGTGGCATCAGCTCAGTTCCCCTTCGGTGTTTTGATTGTCGGAACTGTTGTGGTGTTTGGTTGGCTTTTAATGACCCCGTTATTATATTGCTGTTACAACTAGTGTAACACAGTTTACTGCCCTTAGGTAGCAGAAGAGACGGATAATAGAAGAGATAAAACTGTCACTACGTTGTCTTGGGTGGATCAGGTGAGAAAGGTTTAGAAGTGATTATCAGAGGACCAGTGGTGATGTTTGTTTTCTTATCAGATAAACACTGAATTCGAAAGGTTGCAGCTCTTAAACAAGAAGTACGCTCCTGACCAGTGCTTAACCGTGACATTTTCTGCTACTGAGAATGGGAAGTAGTTGTGTTTTTAAATATTAGCTATTTGTGCTGGAAATAGCAAAAATGAAATGAGCATTGCGGTACATATTGATGACCAACTGAAGCTGGAAAGAAATTTTCCCCTGATCCTTCGGGGTTTTTAATATTCTTCTGCAGTTGACAATAATGTTTTGCTACCAGAGACAGATGGGAATGTAGATTCCTTAAAAAGCCATGACTGCCTGGAGATGAGTGGTGTGCAGAGTGAATTTATTGGGAAGTATCAAACCCATACAAGTAGAAGCACCTGTCCCCAAGTCTCAGCTACCATGGAGAAGCTGTTCTAATATAATTACATGTACGCTAATATCTTAATTCTCTATAAATGATGAAAAAGCCAATAAAAACAACTATGGTGCCTTGTTCTCTGGATGAGACGTGGAAGCACAAAAAATTAATACTGAATACTGAGGAAAGAAAACAAGGCGCCACAGTAGTTCTCCTTTGGTTGTATCCTGGGATGTGCAAGTTTGGAAAAGCAATGCACAACTCTGAAAGACCTTAAAAGAGAAATGCAAGCTCTGGTGTTACACAGCCAGCAACGACTCGGTGTCTGTGCCTCAGGCTGCTCAGTAGTTAGTTCCAGGAGCTGGTTCACACACAGCACAGCTAGTGAGGGATTTGCTCTATGTTCTGTATCCTTTCCCGTCCTTCAATTTATTTTTTTTTTTTAATGTCTTCTGTTTTGCCACACACTCTGCCCAGCCAAGGGTCCATGTTCTGCGTGAGCAACAGGCGGGATGTGCGGACCGTGCTCGCTGATACGCGGGGGTGTGCTTGCTGGCCAGCTATTGCCTGAGCTTGTGCTCCTTTTCTTAACTACCGATTTTCATAAAAGCCAGGTAGTATTTTGGGCTCCTCTACCTTTCAGTTAAATTTGATTGAAATTGGTAAGAGGTTTAAGTTGCTGGGGAGAGTAAAAACAAAATGCACCCTGTGACTGCATAATCTTACTGTATTTCTCTGAAAATACTAAAATGCATTAAGAAATCGTTGGTGAAACACTAGCATCATTTGAGAAACTTTGTTTATAAATGCCAGTAATACTTTTTTTTTAATGGCTGTCAGAAATATTGGTGTTCATTTGTAATTTTGCCTTTATTGACATCAACTTACTACCAAGAAACTTCCCTGAGATTAAAGAGCAGTAGGTGCCATGTTGGGGTTTTTTTATACGCACCTATTGCTGGTTTGGGTGTCGCTGGAATGTTTTGTGCGGACAGCAAGAATTCCTCTCTCTTTATGCTCCCCTTGTTTTGGCAGTATTCCTTTTTCCCCTTGCCCTTGGGGCAGAGGCTCTCCAATGGTTGTGCACCCCCTGAGCTCACGGTCAGCTCCTAGCTGTGGCAATCCAAAGGTTTATAACGACCAGGGATTAGGCTGGCAGTGCCTGAGGCGTTGCTGGTGTGGTGGTGCCACTAGTAGGCATGGTTAGTTGAGGAACAGAAGTAAAAATACTTCTTTTTCTCTGTCACGCTCTCATTGTTCGCAGTTCTTCCTTTTTCCTTCTTTGGGGGTCTTTAATCTCTGTGCAGTCAACTTTGTCTCCTTAAAACTGAACGTACCCTCTTATCATTGCTATTTTCCATGTGATAAAAGGAAAGGTAAGCCTTGCCGAGACGTGGCACCCTGCCATAGTGCAGGTGGGAAGGGACCATGAGGACTTGTCCTGCCCAGCCTCCTGTGCAAAGCGGGGTTAGACCTGGTTTGCCCAGGGCTTTGTAGAGTCAGGTCTTGAAACCCTGCGAGGATGGAGACTACCCGTCTGCCAGAGCTCTGCTCATGGCACAAAAAGTTCTTCATACCCAGTCAGATGGAAGGATTGTTACTGATTATTCGACTGCCTCTTTGCCTTCACATTGCTTTCTTTTTTTAATTACTCCATACATTTGTAGCAAGCAGCATCTGTCCAGTTTATATTGCTTGCTATAATTCTTGATTTTTTTTTTTTATCTCCTGCTTCTCTTAATGCATTCTGAAATACTGTATGTTGTCTGTGCAGGATTTTCCACAAATATTTTCACAACATTCATTCATGTTTCGTGTCATTTCCCACAACATTTCACACAAATATTTTGTGGAATGGTGTCCCTATACCTTTCCCCTCGGGTTTAGGTTAGAATCTGTTACACAGCGGGCATCGCAGGAGAGCTGTCCCCATGCTTGCCTCTAGGAAACACCCTGCTCCTTCAACCTGCAATTTTCTCTTTTCCTCTTGGACTGTAGCCCTTAATTATAGGAAAGATGGGGAAATTCTTTTTAGTAGGGCCAGCTGTGACAGGACAAGGGGGGATGGGTTTTAACCTAAACCCGGGTAGGTTTAGACTGGATCTAAGGAAGAAATTCTTTGCAGTGAGGGTGGTGAAACCCTGGCAGGGGTTGCCCAGAGAGGGGGTGGAGGCGCCATCCCTGGGAACATTCCAGGCCAGGTTGGCCGGGGCTGTGAGCAACCTGATGTGGTTCAAGGTGTCCCTGCTCCTGCAGGGGGGTTGGGCTGGGTGACCTCTGGGGGTCCCTTCCCACCCAAAACATTCCATGATTCTATCCTTAAATACAGAAAGGAGAAAGGGTAATAGTATTTGGACTGAAATCCATTGCTGGAAGCGACTGAACAAGGAGGATTTCGTCTTCTGTCACTTGATTTAGTTGCTTTTTACGGGGTTAATGTGGAAAGGTTTGGGTTTTGCTATTAATCTGCAGATTCTGAGGAGGTTTGATGTTTCTGTAAAGGGCTATGTATGTTCTGTAGCTAGGTGGCATTCTTGAGTGGGTTCCTGTGCTGCAAAACGGTGGTAAGCATTCCTGATGGCGTGCTTCATTTCAGTCGTGGATTTTCCCTTTATTGCTTTTAAATAAACATTTGTTTAAATAAAGTTTGAAAAAGAGGCCGTAGTCACACATGCAGGATTAAAAATACTTTTATCAAAAACCCCACAAATTGAATAAAATCATTAATCAGTTGAATTTATAATTTATCCAATCCTGAGCAAAATCAAGGAGGTTTTAGTGCTGGTACTCTTTCGTATTTATTTTTTTTTTATTTGATTGCTGTTGTTAAAACTGTAGGTGTGTGTGAGTTAGGAGGAAAAGATGGTATTCAGTGCCAAATGCTTCAGTTTTGTCTCCTGCATTTTGTGGCAGGGCTTCGCTTGGTGGCTTTTGTTTTGCATGTATTTTTAAAATCCCGGT